ATCAGCACATAATCTAACGAACATTTAAGGATGATTAATTTTACAATTAATTATTTTAATTCTATTGATGATATTGTTTTTTGTTAAAAAATATTAATTAATCAAAACATTTTGTTGATGTGGATGTATATCATATTTTCTTGTTTAAGTAGGTGAAGGTGATGATTATTCCCTAAATATAGATGAAAAATATAATGAAATAATAAATAAAGTTATATTTAATTGAGCAATAAAATAGTGTATCGCTCATTCATAAATAGTAGCGTGATAAATATATGCTTACTGTTTTTTTTATCAACAGTTTGAAGTTCATATATTTAATAATCTGATACAGGATCAGGTGTATCCACCTTTTTAAATGACTCATGTTTATTGTGAACTATTGTTAGATGATCCGCGTACTTCCTGATATTATCTAAATGATTCTTGTCGATCGCAGATAATAAATCTTCATCTTCACCGCATTTTTCCATAAGAATTTTTATTTCATGTTAATAAGCATGAAGCTAAATGAAATTTATTATTATTATTACTATTTTTCAAATATTATCACATATTAGATTTATCATTACATGATTTGGTTCATTAGCAATTGACAAGATGTAATCATCTTCTTTCAAAGGTCCAAAAGAATTCATCTAAAACAAAAAAAAAACTATTGATGAAATTCATGATAAACAAGTAAGTATCTTTTTATTTATGAATAATTATCATATTCATCATGAGCTGGTAATGAACTTAATTTATGGAGCTTTTTGTTTTATTTGGAGGTGATTTAACAAAATCTTCAGCTGCTTGTGTTTAAATTGATGTATTATTAGGAAATAGATGAAGTATTAATTCATTATGAAATAATGTTTGAATTTTTAATAGAAGATCAATTTTTTTTTTCTTGCGTTTTATCAGATAATTATCGTTTAATACATTTTAAATCTACTCATAAAGAATATACTTCAAGTTCTTTTGATTGTTTAGATTTTTCAAATTGTTCTTTAAGATATTCATATGGAATATTTAAACCATTGCAATCAATTTCTTTATCATTTCATTCTTCTTTATCTTCATCATCACACTATTGATTAATAAATGCGTAATTAATATAAAAACTAAAATTTTTAAAAATTATAAATAGAAAATTTAATTACAATTTCTGATGAATTTTTCCAAGTTTTTTTTTTTTATAAAACATAAAATAAAACTGACTTTATAATCAATTAAACCATGTTCAATATCAAATTTTTTAATTTGTTCGAATTTTTGAAAAGAATTTGGAAGAATATATTTATTATGTCCATGAAAATCTTGGGAAATCAATCGATTTATAACAATACTAATTCATTCTAATATTGATGATGTTGAACTTGGTATTGCCCGTTTAATAACTACTTAACCATTTATAAAATGTGCTCGATTAGACATGAATTGTGATGTAGTACAAGAAAGGGTGTGGGTGTGGGTGTGGGTGTGGGTGTGGGCGTGGATGGGTGTGAGTGTGGGATGTGGCTGTGGCTGTGAGTATGGGTGTGGGCGTAGATTTCTCATCACATCCACACCCACACCCACACCCGACATCCATACCCACACCCACACCCCACATCCACAAAAAATAGCCGAATATTTGTGATTTGAGACAAAAGTATATTTTCCCGAAGCAAGTAGAAAAATCTAAGAAATAAATCATATGGATTCGGAACACAGAGCTCTTAGGCTATTCTCCTATAAAAAAGTTTCTCCGTTGAAAAATTATAGGTTGTTTCTCAAATAACTCTTGATTGGTTGATTTTTTTTCTCTTAGCTAACGAAATCCATTTCAAAACTAAAACATAATTATCAGCTTTTGAAATCACTTCTCAATGAATTAGTTTCTATGGGTATTCTAATTTGTTTGAACAATGGAATTCGATCTGGAAAAAATCTGACGTCTCTCTATGTTAAAGTTTTACCAGAGTCATTCAAGGTCGACAAAGTTGAACAATTTTGCTGTAAATATTTGTGTAAGCTCGGCATGTCTTGGTCTTTATACCGTGAAAGCTGCAGAAATTTAATCTTATCATCGTCGTCGGCCGTATTGTGTAAACAAGCTAAGGATATTCTTAACCGTTCGTCATATAAAAGGTAATTGCATTTTATGAATTAATCAGCCCAAAATATTTTTTTATTTTTATCTTTCTTACAAGTATTGTTCGAGTACAAAACATATCATCAACATCAGGTCAAAGTTCAAGAGTAATCAAAAAAAAAGAAGTAAAAGTCAAAATGTCATGCACGAATACAATTGTTAGCGTTTCGTTCTTTCTTTCCTTTATGTATATATATAAGATGTAATATGTGCTGATATTCATGCACGAACTTTATTATGTAAGGAATGGAAAAACAAACGAAACATATATAGTATATATATGAAGAACGAAAGAAAAAGAAGATATCAATAGAGATCAACAGAAGATGAAAGACAATAGAGGATGACAAGAAGATAGACAATATGTATGCGTGCAACATCACTGTAACAACAATCTTGAACTATTTTCATCGAACAGTTAATAATATACAAGTTTTACCTCGAAAAAATGATGAAAGAATGACAAAAGAAGATGATCCAGAGTAAGTCTTACCGAACGCAAATTTTAAATATATTCATGATTATGCTATTACTTTTTACTTACTGGTAGGCAAATCAATAACAATAGCGAAAATCAAACATTAAAATCAAAGATCATATCATCATCATCAGTTGCATCATCATCATCAGCTGCTGCTGCATCATCATCACGCGTAGCATCGCCAATTACGTCGTTACCTGAGATAATATCTGTTTCGGAAGAAAAAATATCGAAATATTTTCAAAACTTCCGTATACTTCGACCTTATCGACCTATTGGTCGAGTGTCGAATAGAAATAATACTACTTTATGTTCAACAGCATCAGATCTCCAGCAGCAGCAGCAGCAATAACAACACCAACAAGCACAATGATACAACAGAGACAAAAAAATAAGGTAACATATAAAACATTTTAAAGTCGAGTAAACGCTTTTTTCCTTTTTATTTAGTATTATTCAATAAAGAAAAATTAAATAATTATTTAGGGGTGTGGGGGTGGGGGGTGGAGTGTGGTTGTGGGTGTGGGTGTCTGGGTGTGGGTGTCTGTGTGGATGCTTTTCCTTCAACCACACACCCACACCCACTCCCATCCACACCCACTCCCACCCACACCCACACCCACACCCACCCATGTGCACAAGTTCTAGCAGATGTCTATGTAAGAAAGTGGGAAAAATCTTTAGGAGAACAACAAGAAAACGAAAAACAATTGTATCGTAGATTTCGAGATGATGTTTTCTTAACAACAGAGAAAACAACTGAAGAAATGAATAATATACTCCATGACTTAAGAAAGAAGGATCCTAACACACAAATATCTTTTGAAACAGGTGAATCGGTTGACTATCTCGATATCAGAATAAGTGTAGAAGCACCTAGTTTTCGGACGAAAGTCTATCGGAAGTTAGCAGCTCAACCATACATCTTACCATTTCATTCTTCCCACCCACTGCACATTTTCAAGAATATTGTTTTTTCAGCTGTGCTAAGAGCAACACGAATATGCTCGCACGTCGAAGATTTGAGATAGTAAATCCACAAAATTCGAATAATCTTGCTACTAAACAAGTACCCACCGAATTTTATTGACAAACATATAAATCGCTTCTACCTAACCCTCACAGAAAAGAATACTCTGGATTTACTATTTAGTGATCAGCATAAAGCATTTCGTGACAAAGTCTTAAATGCGCAATGGAATAAAAAACCAAAGAAAGGAGTTGATTTCAATCGAGATATATTAGTTCACTTCACGTACACACCCTCCTTAGCTCAATTCGGTGCGAAATTCCATCAAATATGGAATGAAATTTTCGAATGAACACCTTTAGAAGATATCCCGGTAATATATGCACATCGTCTAACAGATAATCTTAGTAGAATCCTAATACATAAAAAACCACCAAAGAATATTATTAACCTTTTACCACAGTAAGATGAAAAGAATAGATGATAAAGGAATGATAATAACAAAGAAGAATGATAATAACAAAAATAGAAATAAGAAAAAGTAGATGAACATGAATGTTATAAACGAGAAATCTTCTTTACTCAGATGAATCAACGAAATGTATCTCAAAAAACACAAATGTATCTCAAAATACTTCTTATCTTTCACTGTCGACTTTCTTATTATCCATCATTGATCATTGATATTCTCTAAAGTATCTATCAATAACAACTATTCGAAAAAAATCTCTTTCCAGCAGTTAACAAAAAATATACATATCTATCTCCTTTTGCTACTCAAAATCTGATCATGTACATTTGATAAAAATGTATCATATCTCTATGAACACTAACTAATACTTCTGAAAAATAATACTCATCTCTATCAAGCTTGCCATATTGACTATCTATCTCATAGCATTGATGTTAAACAAAAAGTAACTCAAAAAAGAGCATCTCAAATACCTACATTTTCATAAGAGAATCAACTTCAACAATGTATCTGTTCACTTCAATCACTTCAATATTTGAATTTATTTAGTTCAATACATTCCCCTTTACTCTGTATACATGTACTTATCTATTCATTTATTTATGCAATAATTTATGTATTTTTTCTTACTCCATATCTTCTTCCTTTCTATATTTATTATTTATTGATTTATTATTATTGATTTATGTATTTTTCTCACCTCATATCTTATCTCTTTCTATATATATACATATATATCTATAAACGTATCTATTCATTTCGAACCTCTATACATGTACTTGTTCCTTCCAACTATTTGTTCAACACATTGATCATGTATGATGACATTGCATATCAACTATAAATTCACGTCCAACTATGAATACACGTCCAACCTGTTCATTTCCAAACATTCTATTAACAGCAACCATATTACGAAAAACAAAAAAGCTGAAAATCTTAAATTCATACATACATCATAAAAATCTTTAATTCATACATCATAAATATCTACTACAAACTCTAATGATTAACTATGACATTCCTTAATATGCATATTAATATATATATTATTATCAAGCGTTTATGCTATATTCCTTAATATACCTACTTTTCCCTATCATCATTATTATCCACTTCTCTCGAATCTATCAATATAACATTACATCATTGATTTTTGCACATCATTTATTTTTTAACCACTTCTCTCGCATCTCTCAATGAAAAACACAGATCATGATACAAAAAATACATTACATCATTACATCATTTATTTTTGCACGTCATTTATTTTTTTGGGCATCATTTATTTTTTGGCACAACATAACCTGTATTGTTCAATTTTATAACCAACGCATTCCCAATATATTATTAACTGATGTGTGATCATATACTTGAGCAAAACTTCGTACAAATTCACCAGAAAACATCATACCTACAAGATCGTCAGAAAACATCATACAAACAACTCATTCAACATAGAAAATGATCCCATGACGCGCATAGATATCTATATATACTGCTGAATATTCAACTTAATAAT